AAGCACGAGAGAATGTTTTAAATACAATAATGCTAACAATTTACATTTTCCCCAAAAAATGAGGCTAACCCCGTATTCCCAGAAGATTTAAACCTTCTGTCTATGGGAATACATTTACAGGGTTAGCCTCAACTTGGGAAAATGCTAATTTTCAAGGCTATTGTAATAATGACATTTTCTCATGTTCTCTTTTGTGTTTGGTAAGGTGTTTGCGCAAGGGAATCTGTTGTTGAATAAAGCATTGGTTTCTCACTATGAATTTGAAAATGGAGCATTGAACTGTTTTAACAACTGTACAATTTTGTCAGYAACCTTCCTCACAAAAGCGTTGTGAAAGAGGGCGTTACAGGGATTGTTGAGAAATAATATTGCAAATGCAGGGTGCAATGTGAACAATGTGGGGGGGGGGGGGGGAGGTACACACTGTACACACTGTACAAGGGTGCTTCAAGTTGCTGTAATGCATTGAGGAAAGTAGATCAAGGTATGAGCGAGCTTTGGGAACCTTTGTTAACACTTTAAAATTCTCCTTCAAAAGTGCCGTTATCTTGAGAGGCATGTTGCTGAGAAAATTAATTGTGCAGTGTWAATCATAGCTTCATATGATTTTCTTCAGGCTCAGTTTCGTGGAAGAGAAGAAGATACATTTGCTCTCGTCCGCTACGTGGGTTCACAAGAACGACTTACCGTAAGTCAAACAAAACGATTTCTCTGCATAAAAGCTACTCCATGTTGAAGCAAGTGAATGCTGTTGTACATGCAACTTTGTTATGAATGCTCAAGTGATAACTAGCAACCAACGGCAGTGTATTACATGATATAGATTTGGTACCACATTCGGAATTGCTAGTTTATTGTACATTTATGTTTTTAGATGTTAGTGGATGTTGATGGGAAAGGCGAATGGACGGAGTGTTTCGATGTTGGTGGGATCAAGTTACCTACGGGATTGTATTTTGGTGTTTCTGCAGCTACAGGAGAGCTTGCTGGTAAGAAACTTATTATATTTTTGTTTCTTCATCCATTCATGATTTTTAGTTATATAAAATCACTTAATTTATCTATTAGCTTTTGATGTTTCATTTGCCGCATCCCTGGTCTAGGGCTCCATTAATTTCAATTCTCTTATATTTTATTCGTAGATAATCATGACATAATATCAATGAAACTTTACGAAGTTGACGAACCAAAGGATAGTTTAGATAAAAAGAAAGACGGAGTTCAGGATTTCTCTAAGATTGAACCTTTTGCTGATGGCGCKGAAAAATACCGAGGTAGAGTCTTTTAGTTATGAGTTTATGCGCTTACAGAATTATTAATTTGCTTTTCTAAGCGTGTTGTATGAATTTCTTATTTGATGTTGTGCACTTACAGTCAAAAGACATGAAGTGCGCCCCCTCAAAACACCATTATTCAATTCATTAGTCGATTCTTGGTCGATTCAACATTACATTATTGGTATCAAATTTGAATTCAAACTTCGAAATTTGATTGGATTATTGATCGGATTTTCATAAAGTCTCTTCGTATTTCGCTTGTAAACATGCTGGTCTTTTGTAATTTCCACAAGTCGATGCATTGCAATATGTTGGATCTGTTCCTTCTCGTGWGAAAGGAATGAYRGTCTCAAAAAGCTGGAAATGCTGTGTTGTTTTCTGYCATTATYAGAGTTCGAGAWTTKAATTTAATTTTGCAKWMATCAACTGAWGTTTGAAAACGAAAAATAAAATGAAAAATCCAATAATGCATYGAATAACGAACTATTCTGGGAGCGCGCTTCATGTCTTTTGACTGTAAGAGATGAGTAAGTAATTGAAAGAGAGGATAGAACAAAGCAGGAGTAAATACAAAATGAAGAAAATCAAGAATAGGTTAGAACAACTATGATAAAGGATTAAGTTGCAATCAAATGAAAGAAAAGAAARGAAAGAAAGGATAAGGAATCCAATGAAGAGCGGAAAAAATGAAAAAAGATAAAAGAATATAGGAGGAAAAATTGTAAGGAAAATTCTAAAAAAGGACTGCATAAGCAAACGAGAGAAGAAAAATCATATAAAATAGGCAATAGAGGCTACTCAATCGAACCGCTGATATGCAGTCCTAGGGTATCAGGACAGAGCCAGGGGCAAAAACGCCTCAAAAAAGRACTAAAATTCAAATCTTCTTTTGTTGTTGATTAGACCGAGTTGAAGACGTCAAAGGAAGCTTTTCTTCACGTACTACCAAGATCTTCACGTGGTTCTTCTGGTTCGCTKTAGTTTTTGTAATTCTCTGCRTCATTGGAATTTACTATCAYCATAAGCAACAAGAAAACAATAGAAAACGATTTTATTAATGAATACTTCACTAGCTATTAATCAAAGTATTGTGGGAGAGGAAAAAGATTTGAAACAAGAAGAAGAATGCAAGATTTGGTAACAAGAAGAACTAGGTTGTCACATGATTTGACATGATTACCTGACGCATGTCGAGAATTTATTTATAAATCCAATTTCTAAATATAGCATCATGTACTTGCTAGTCAGCGCTTCATTTGCAACATTCCTACTAATCAAGTGACTTCTAATAGCGTACACGTGGARATCTGGGTGCTAGTCGTATCATCATCCCTTGGCTCCAGAAAACTCTCAAAGAAATATTACATCGGATGAATATGCTAGAATTTCAAAGACATGCTTGCTTCTAGAAACATTACATTATTTGTCCCCTTAATCTAAAGCTATAAATGTCTGCAAAATCTTTTCATTTTGATTTAWTCACAGCAAATTTCGGGATTTTGCTATCAAAATGACACTCTTTCTTTTTGAGTTTCCTGCATTTTTAATAATAATTTGAGTTGATGAATTGATGTTTTTTTATTTTAATTTTATTAGGTTTGTTTCTTATTTGTAGCTTCATTTGATTCTAGAATMAAAATGTTTGTCTCTCGCAGTTTGACATTTTTGAACCCCGCATACTTTTCAGAAGCAAATGTTTTTCGCGTCTTCAGTTATTCATATGCAGAGCAATGCCATGCATTTCTACCGTTTAGTAAAGATTTTAGATTTGCTACGAATGCAAATCATATTTGTGCACGACCTTGTCATCGAGCGTATGTAAATTGTATGTATTTTCGGCAGTTTCAGTTTAGTAGTACAATATACATAGAATCTCTATTTGACAAAAGTAAAATRTGTATATTATTATTACAATGAATTACAGTTTGGGACACTTGAAAAGCTATAGAAAACCAAAACATTCACACTCGGGTATTGAGACACTGYGTTGGGTAATTTCCATTGGAATGAAATCCGTTCAGCCTTCGTCAACTCACTAATTCGGGGTCGACCACTACCGTCAGAACGAAGCTTGYGATTGAACGAGACAAAAGTACAAAAGCAAGGAATTTTAGAATTATTTCAGGCAATCCGTCCCTATTTTTGTATTGMCTGTCTTAGTTCATCAAATCACAATCTTTGCTCTTACAGGAGTGTACAGCCCCTCATTCGCTTCACTCTGAAAGTGAAAAAGACTTTGAAACTACGCAAGACGTTTTGTTTAAGACCTACTTTGTGATGTTATCTTCGTTTATAGTCTAATGAATTGTATTAAATATTAATGCTATTGGTGTGTATTTTGTCTACATAACAGAGGAAAATATGCATTCCGAAATAAATGAAAGTTGAGAGTGTGAACCA